CTTCATTTACGCATATACTTTCATCATGTAAAAGGATTTTTAACTCAGCGCATATAGAAAAAAGTAATCTTTGCAGAAGTATTCGGTAATTTTGTTATGATAGCATTTTCTTATCGTTTTCCTCTCATATTGAGGAACGCTCCGCTTCATTTACGCATATACTTTCATCATGTAAAAGGATTTTTAACTCAGCGCATATAGAAAAAAGTAATCTTTGCAGAAGTATTCGGTAATTTTGTTATGATAGCATTTTCTTATCGTTTTCCTCTCATATTGAGGAACGCTCCGCTTCATTTACGCATATACTTTCATCATGTAAAAGGATTTTTAACTCAGCGCATATAGAAAAAAGTAATCTTTGCAGAAGTATTCGGTAATTTTGTTATGATAGCATTTTCTTATCGTTTTCCTCTCATATTGAGGAACGCTCCGCTTCATTTACGCATATACTTTCATCATGTAAAAGGATTTTTAACTCAGCGCATATAGAAAAAAGTAATCTTTGCAGAAGTATTCGGTAATTTTGTTATGATAGCATTTTCTTATCGTTTTCCTCTCATATTGAGGAATGCTCCGCTTTATTTTTGCATGTATTTTCACCATGTCAAAGGGTTTTTGATTTAGTACAATCAGCACGACGAAAGTTTTGCAAGGGTATCGATATCACGTCAACGAGATTTTCCTACAAATATTACTTTGTATTGACTTGACCGAATTAAAATGCTTTTGTGTGGTGAAAATACATGCAAAAGTGAAGTAGATTATTTCTCATTCAGAAATGAAAACGATGTGGAACTTTTGCCATCGTGACACTGATTTCCTTTTGCAAAAATTACAGCGCACTTACTACTCCAATTTATAAGATAAAATTACGTGCGAAAATATAGTGAAACATTGCTCAGTGCATAACTAAAATAATATCTAAAATTTCCATTGCAAATTATATAGAAACCTTACATATTAGATAACATATTCTTCAAAACAATATTCGTAAACTGCATTTAGGCGTAGAACTTCTCTAAAAAAAAACTCTTTCTTTGATTCACCCAATACACAGGCGGTTTGAAGAATTCATCAGAAAAGCAGCGAAAACCTATTTCGGAGAGAATGCGAATATCGGCAACGTGGCATTCACATTTACGTAACGTTTATGTGTAAGAAAATTGAAATGACAACGTAGCACACACACTTGCATTCATATATCTATATATAGAAATGATGCATACATGGAAAGAAGAAAATAGCGGCATTATGTCAGCGCCTACTTGACGATAGCCTCTACGTTATCGACGATTAGCGAGTTCGTCATTCACTTCAGCATCCCCTTAAGTGCTCGATATATTGCTATGAATGTTCATGATCTACATTAATGTACGGAAAAAACGAGTTCATTAGCGTTAATTTTTATGTTACTTAGAATTTATATTAATTACGAACATTAGATGAAAAACTCGGTCGTAGGGTTCATAGGAAGATTCCTGCAGGAGGTTTTTACTCAACAAATTACTCTCAATTATCTCAATTATCTCAATTATCTCAATTATCGAATGAATTTAATGAATATTGAGACAAATATATCCGATCATAAAGAGAACGATTTGTTGAATCAAATAAACGTTTCTTTGGAATAATCTAAACAAATTTTTTGGCTAACACAACAAAAATATTTCTTTGAAACTAAGCCGCAAATAAATATGTTTGTTGCGTCAAACAAAATTTTGTTCGATCAATCAAAAAATTCCTTTGGACCATTCCAAAAAAGTTTATTTGATTCAACCAAATCGTTCTCTCTGTATAATAATAGAAACATTATTCCTTGTCAGCGAGAGGTTTTCGTCTGATCCCCATTTGATTACTCGACTCGAGATCTTTTCTTCCGTGTGTAAACCGGTCGTACACATTTTATAAATCCTATCAAAGAACTCAATTATCATTTGCGAGCGCATGAAAGATCACTGAATGTGACGTTTCTTGTACCGTCGATTAAGAATCACAGTTTCCGTGTTTTGCAATGAAATACTTGGACAACATCTCATATTGGTACTCTATAAAGAATGCCAGATAAGACAAAAAATAATAATGAGCGCGTGAACATGATAAACTCAAATAGCACTAATTATTATGCAAATGGTAAGTCAACCGGCAAAATCGTGACGTCGATTTATATGCAATCGATTAATATAAGTCCAAGAAGTCTTCGTACATTAGGAATTTTTACAGAAAATAGTTTATTTCTATATAATAATGAATAGTAAATAAAAATAATCGTTTTTACATATGATAAAGTCTCTCTTTCTTAACACTATACCAGAAACGAAACCTACAAATTAATAAATATTATAATATTATACTCAAAAATGATAAAAGAACGAAACATGGTAATTTAGTAATGCGCAGAAAGTGTTCGTACACCAATGATATCTATGATAAAAACTTATCTTAGATAAGGAACATACATCATATGTTTACATTCCTTGTCTATTTATATTTGGATCTTGTTCGGTTATATATATTGACGCGAAATTCCACAGTCGTTCCCTACTTAGTGAAAATGGGTCAAATAAGAAGCAAGACTATCGCGGAGGAAAGACAACTTATTATTAGACTGCATAATCAATGCAAGTCTTTAAATGAAATATGAAAACTGATTGGGAGACCGCGTTCTACAATACACAGTATTATTAACCTCATTAACCGCTTTGGCAAGACCAGAACAATAAAAAAAAACAGTGCAAGAAGCGGACGCCCGTCTGTCTTATCGGACAACGACAGGCGATTTATCATACGTCAATTAAAAAGTTATTATCATACGTTAATTAAAAAAGGTCCGAAAACTAATGCCCCTATGATATTTGCGAAATTGCTGAAGAAACAAGTCAACAAGTCACAAGTCAACAAGAAACAAGTCTTTGTAAATATAGTGAGGAACATTACACAAAGAGGGATACCATGGACGAGTAGCCAGAAAGAAGTGCTGGATTAATAAGATCAACCGCAAGAAGCGTTTAGAGTTCGCTCGTGAGTATCAAACAAAATCTCTAGAATTTTGGAATAAGATCATTTTTACTAATGAAAGAAAGTTCAATTTATTTGGATCGGACGGGAACCAAAAGGTGTGGCGTCAGAAAAATGCTGAGCTTCAGCCGAAAAATTTGATACTCACTGTAAAACACGGAAATGGCTCTGTGCTATTTTGGAGCTGCATGAGTGCTTCTGGTGTAGGAAATATTCATTTCATCGATGGTACTATGGATCACAAAGCGTATATAAATAATTTGAAAAATAATCTCCATACCAGTGCCGAAAAAGTGGGGTTCCCAAATGATTTTAACAGGATAATGACCCCAAGCACACAGCCACAAATACTATGTTATGGCTCTTATATAACACATCTAAACAGCTGAAAACATCTCCTCAATCAGCTGATTTAAATCCTATAAAATATTTGTCGAGGCTTCTAGAAAATAAAATAAGAAAAAGATATATTTCAAGCAAGAATGACTTAAGACAAGCACTACAAAAGGAGTGGAACTCAGTGACAGAATCTGACACATCCAATTTGGTACATTCTATGTCCAAACGTCTACAAGTTGTAGTAAAAGCTAAAGACTATCCTACAAAGTATTAATCTGATTTTGTTTCTTTCATTTTGCTTTGTTTTTAGTCAGAATATTGTGTTGTACGAACACTTTCTGCGCATTACTAAATATCATATTTCGTTCTTTTGTCGTTTTTATTAATTTATAAGTTATGTTTATGATATATTGTTACTAAAGAGAGACTTTATTATATGTAAAACCGATTATATGTTTTTATTACTCATTATCATATGGAAATAAACTATTTTCTATGAAAATTCCTAGTGTGCGAAGACTTTTTGAACTCACTGTAGATGTAGTAGAGAAATATAGAGCTTATTAAAGAAATATAGTCATAAGTAAGATTGCATAGCTGCTAATTCACTGAGCTGACATAAAAAAAGGACTAGGAATGCGCGTCACTCGTCACTTCGCGATTTACGTTTACATACGTTTCACCATATTTTGAAATATCTTATCGTAAATTCTTCTTTTTTACGATAATAGCAAATTCTTTTTCTTTTGACGATAATGGCAAAGAGAGGTCACGTGTCGGAGAACATGATACGCGATGTTCACAGTCACCTTGATCAAAGAAAAAATAGACTTTTTCATTGTCTGATAATAACGGGAATAGAATGAAGACTCGGAACAGAAAGATTTCTGTAGGAAGTTTCTATTCAGTCAATATGTTTTCAGTTATTGCAAGCAAGTTTCAATATACAGCTGAATGTTTAGACAAATATTTTCGGCTACAGTATCAGATATATTATTTCATGTCGGCGAATTATGCAATGCCTTGTCCGGATGGATACTCGTAGTAGCGTTCTGTTGCGTTATCCTCAATAGGTTTTAAAGTACTGAAAAAATTTGAATTAGGCGCCGCTGCCCACTTGGAGCGCCTATCTATCACTCGTCCCTCATTGTTTTCCTGTTGCGTGATACCTCAACACGTGTTTTTTCACAATTCTCAGTTTTTTCATTTTTAGATTGTTCAACGTGGGAAAATCATCTCACAAATCGAAGAATAGAAGAAGATCTTCATCCTCTGATCGACTGACGGAATTAGAAAACAAGGTTGCTTGTTTAATTGACATGTTATCATATAGGCAAAGAGAAGTTAGGGTGCCAACGCGGACCGCCTCTCCTATCTCCGTGTACGCTACCTCGTCCCTGGTTGCCAGATCCACTGGCTCAGACAGTGGACGCTTTTTCGCTGAGTTGGAATGGATTCTATTTTTATGCCTTTCCCCCTTTGCTCTAATTCTAAGAATTCTGAGAAAAATCATTAATGACAGAGCTGTAGGGGTAGTGGTAGTTCCTTGGTGGCCGGCCCAGTCTGGTTCCCTTTATTTAACAAACTCATAATCGACCAGCGATTCGTTTTGAACCGAATATTGATATGTTATTATCTCCTTTCAGAGACACCCACCCGACCTGAGACAGAATTTCCCTGGTGGCCGCGAAATTATCCGGCAAGCTTTTATTCGCAAAGGAACACCACCAGCAGCCCTGACAACAACGCTGGCATCAATCACGAACGCTACATTGAATCAATACTCCAAGCCCTTAAATCTGTGGTGAAGTTTCTGCATTCAAAACCAGATCAACTTTTTTTACACTGCCAGTCTCTGCATTCTTGGAATTTTTGTCCTCTGTGTTATCACAGGTAAGTTATACGCAACCTTGAATACCTATCGTTCGGCCATATCGCTTGTTTCGTCGAACGAGGTGGGTTCTTACCCTTTGATTACTAGATTCTGCAAAGAAGCAGCGATTCTAAAACCGCAAAGACCGCTACGACTTTGTCTGGAATCCTAGACCGGTGATAGATCACCTATCATCCTTGTTTTCACACGAGGAACTTTCTCTAGAAATGTTATCTAGAAAGCTTGTGTCGCTTCTTGCCTTGACAATAGCTCAAAGAATGCAGACTCTGGCGGTTATTCAACTGTCAAATATTTCGATGGCTGATTCGTTAGTCGTTAAGATCCCCACTAGACTTAAGACATCAACGGTTGGTAAATTTCAGCCTTTGCTTTACTTCAAACCTTTCGCCGAGAAACCGGAACTTTGCGTCGTCTCTCTGATTAAAACTTACCTACAGATCACCGAGGATCTGCGTCAAGAAGGCTGTGACTCTCTCTTCATCTCTCCCCGATCTCCACACAGCGCAGCTTCCTCCCAGACGCTAGGGCGTTGGGTTAAACTAGAACTGAAAGCTGCTGGTGTCGATATATCTATTTTTTCGGCGCACTCTACTCGTCACGCTTCGACATCGTTCGCGGCAAGCAGAGACATTACTACATAGGCTGAAAAGTCCCGGGATTTTTAATGAAAACAAGCGTTTTTGGGGCAAAGTTATATTTATTCTTCAACATAGTTGCCTTCGAGTGCAATACAATTGGTATAGCGATTTTCCAACATTTCGATGTCCTTTCTGTAGTACGAAACGTCCAAGCCTTCGAAATACGCCTCGGTTTCCGCGATGACTTTCTCATTCGATGTAAATCTCTTTCCCTGGAGCCACCGCTTGAGGTTTGGGAACAGATAATAGTCGCTGGGGGCCAAGTCTGGAAAATACAGCGGGTGAGCAACCAATTCGAATCGTAATTGGTCCAATTTGACCATCGCTTTCAAGGATGTGTGTGACGGTGCGTTATCGTGATGGTACAGAATTTTTTTCTTCGCCATATGGGGCCCTTTTCTTTATTCCGTCGTTCAGTTTGTCCAATAAGGCTGCATAATACTCTCCCGTAACTGTTCTTCCCTTTTGCAGGTAATCGATGAAGATTATGCCATGCGCATCCCAAAAAACGGAGGCCAATACATTCCCGGCCGAGCGTTGGTTTTTTGGCCGCTTTGGTCGGCTTTCATGGCTTTTCAGCCACTCTGCAGACTGCCTATTGGAATCAGGCGTATGGTAATGGACGTTTCATCCATCGTCACAAAACGTCGAAAAAAGTCCGCTCGATTACGCTCGATTACGCTGCAACAACGCCAAACCGGCCGTTGAATCATCAGCGCTGCTGTTTTTGGTCGACGGTCAGCAAACGCGGCACCCATCGCGCAGATAGCTTTTTCATATCCAAAACATCGTGAAAAATGTATCCCACCCGTTCTTTTGAGATGCCAACGGCCTCAGCTAACTCGCGCAACTTCACTTTACGATCACTCAAAACGATTCGATGCACTTGCTTTACGATTTCCGCATTCGTAGCCTCTTTTGGTCTTCCAGAGCGAGGTGCGTCTTCGGTGCTTGTACGACCCATTTTAAATTCACTAAACCATCGATAAACTGTTGTTCTCGAAGGAGCAGATGTGGGATAACATTTCTTCAACCATTTCATTGATTGTTCAGGAGTTTTTCATCAAAAAACAATGTTTGATCAATATGCGATATTCCTGTTTTTCCATTTTTTTTTACGAAGGCGAAGGTAGCGACACTTAAACGACTGTAGTTTGTAAACAAATGAACGAAATGTCATGAAATTTCACACATAAACTAATGACAGATGAACCTCTCGAAATAAATCATGTTCATTTTCAAGTGGCGCCACCTACTGAAAAATCCCGGGACTTTTCAGCCCATGTAGTAGTATAGACGAGATCAGACGCACAACCAGTTGGAGCAGATCCTCAGAGACCTTCGCTCGTTTTTAAAATCGCCCAATTATTAAGGAGCCTTCTTTTTTGTCTACGATCTTAAATAGATCATAATCTTAGTAAACAGATCATCTCCTCTTTTCGTTATATAGGAGGGTATTTCATAGATTTTATTTTAGTTTTTTGTTCCCTCTTATGGAATACATTTCATTTTATGTACCAGGTGTACAAGTATGAAATGCGGATTTTTTTCCAAAAAAACACGTTAAATTCGGAAGAATGATAAAAAGAGGTTTATTCAAAGTATGCTCCATTGCTAGTTACACATTTTTCCCATCTTTCGGGAAATTTATGGATACCACGCCAGTAAAAATCTTCCCCTTTTGCCGCGAACCATTCATCGAGCCATTTTTTCACATTTTCGTACGAACCAAAGCGCTGCTCAGCAAGTGCGTGACCCATCGATGCGAACAAGTGGTAATCAGAAGGAGCCAAGTCTGGTGAGTAAGCCGCCTGGGGTAGAACTTCCCAGCTGAGTGCTTCCAACGTGTCGCGAACTGGTTTTACCTTATGTGATGGAGCATTGTCATGGAGAAAAATGATCTTGTGTTGCCTCTTTTGGTATTCTGGTCGTTTTTCAAGCAGCGAACGGTTCAAATCGATCAATTGTTGTTGGTAGCGTTTGGTATTAACCGTTTCACCAGGTTTTAACAGCTCATAATAGACTACATCCTTCTGGTCCCACCAAACACAGAGCATCGTCTTCCTGCCAAAGCGATTCGGTCTTGCGGTCGATGTGGATGGTGCGCCTGGGTCTACCCATGATTTTTTGCGCTTGGGATTCTCAAAATAATCCAGTTTTCATCCCCAGTAACGATACGATGCAAAAACGACTTTCTTTTGTATCATTCGAGCAAAATTTTATATGTGTTTTTGCGCCTCTCCATCTGCCTCTCGTTCAACTCATGTGGTATCCATTTGCCGATCTTCTGAATCTTTCCCATCTCTCGTAGCCGATTGGAAACAGCTTGTTGACTAACGTTTAATTGCTCTGCGAGTTGTTTTTGTGTTTGTGAATCATCTTCGTCTAACAATGCTTGCAACTCCACACTTTCGTATCTTTTTGGCGGTTTTCCGTGTTCCTTGTTTGCAACATCGAAATCACTACTTTTGAAACGCCGAAACCATTGTTCACACGTATCTTGCAATGGAGCATGTTCACCATAAGCTTCTCGAAGTAATCGGTATGATTCAGCAGCAGTTTTCTTCAAATGAAAAGAAAAAATTAATGCTGTCCGCGAATGCTCTTTATTTGGTATAAATTTCGACATATTGAACACAGCAACACAACACTATGCAAATACTTTTTCAATTTATCACTTATGCGCGTTTGACATTTGTTGATGGCACAACAAAATGGCATAAATGTCAAATCTTTATACCACACACTGCATTGGTGCGCCATCCGTTCTCTCAAATCCGCATTTCATACTTGTACACCTGGTATTTTCCTTTTATTTTAGAGTTACCTTTATGGCATGTTTTTTGTTACAAAGACATCCTTGAAATAAATTTACTCTTATAGTATTTATTTCAACTCTTTTCTTCTGCAAATCTGCTTTAAATATCTACGAGTATCCATCTGGACGAGACATTGCATAATTGAATAATTAAACGAACTTACCGTGAAGTTCGATTACAATTATACTGTCTCGTCCGGATGGAAGACTTCCCTTCCACCCACAACCCCTTTTTAGTAGATTTGCGAGCTTTGAAATAATGAGGGACGAGTGCAGATAAGCGAGATTAGGGAGCGGCGCCTAATTCAAATTTTTTTCAGTACTTTGTGACGTGGCAGCTTTGGAGGCGCCCGTCTCAAGAGAAACCATACCAATTTTGTGTGAATGTTTTTCGCGTATCGCGTCGCGAACGACTTTTCGCGAATATTCTCGGTTATCGCGTCCCGTCGTATTTTTGTTTGTGAAAGTCTATAGGACGAATATTGGACGCGATTTTTGCGAGCGGAGCAGATGCGAAGGTCAGCGCGTCCCCAACGTTGTGCCCCTCGGCTTCCCTTGCCGGCCTCCAGGACTAGAGGATAGGAGGACATCGAGGGACAAGGGAGCAGCGCCCGACGACGCATCGCTAATACGCAAGTGAATCGCTCTCTCGAAATTTTGTGTTAAAATATTCTCAAATAGCCGATTGCTCAACAATCTCGAATATTATACCGCTTAGAATATTCCGTAGCGAAAACACAAATACGGCAATTAGACAGGAGTCTATCAGCTGTGTTTACTTTTAGCGGACGCTGTCGTCGCGAGAAACCCAGAAGGAAAAACGGGAGCGCCGAGAGAGGCAGCGAGCAGATCCAGGGCAACAGTGTCTCGAGACATTTCCTGTCTCGAGACAATCGTATCGAAAATTGCCGATTCCCGACTGCCGAACATCGCAGGGCGAGAGGGGAAGCGACGAAGGAGGACTCGCGAGGATACGCGATCCTCCGGGAACCGACGGATAATTAGCCTTATCGCGACCGTCGCCGCGAATAGACACCGCCTTTTTCGAGCGACCGATAAAATCACAGCGATCGACACTTACCGTACGAGCTGACCGAGAGAGAGAGAGAGAGAGTGAGGGAGAGGGAGAGAGGGAGAGAGGGAGAGAGGGAGAGAGAGAGAGAGAGAGAAAGGGAGAGAGGGAGAGAGAGAGAG